CAAAGATCAAAGAGCTTTAGATTCAAGTCCAAGCTCAAGAGTCCTCCAGCCATGCAAAGCCAGCACTTGCACATTATATTTATAGTTAAAAAAGCATATAGAGACTAATTAGCCAGCTTTATAGCTTGCAGACATTCTGATTAATTTGTAATATGTTTCATGAGCGTTTGGTACCCTTGAGATGTCATACAGCTTCTAACACTTCTAACCCTAATGAAGCAGGACACTGTTTTCCCAAAGGACTGAAGACAGCTGAATTTCCTTCACAAAACAGCAGCTCGAATCAATATTAGAGCTGTCATAGGAGGATTCCAAAAGCCAGCACTTGCACATTATATTTATAGTTAAAAAAGCATATAGAGACTAATTAGCCAGCTTTATAGCTTGCAGACATTCTGATTAATTTGTAATATGTTTCATGAGCGTTTGGTACCCTTGAGATGTCATACAGCTTCTAACACTTCTAACCCTAATGAAGCAGGACACTGTTTTCCCAAAGGACTGAAGACAGCTGAATCCTTCACAAAACAGCAGCTCGAATCAATATCAGAGCTGTCATAGCAGGATTCCACTGTGAACTTTATGTTAATTTAGAATTAGTACACTACCAAATATAGTAAAAGGTTTTTATAATCAGCTTAATTTGCTGCAATTGAAAGAGAAAGAAACATTGAACTGCGTGACTGAAGTCTACTTTCAAGGTGTTCACTATATTCCCTCCTTGTCTCATACATACCCAAAGTAATTCAGTTCTGTCCTCAGTGGAACTGGTTGACCATCAGTCAATTCCCACACACAACAAATTATTGCAACTTTGATTAAGGAAACATATTAGAAGGAGCTAACCCTGGTGTTCCATCTTTTGCATAGAGTAAGCGTAAGTTATTAGGTGTAACTATCTGCTGAAGTATTTTAAACATGGGAGTACCGAGATGCTTAGAATGTCAGTGGGAAGAGGGGAGAAAGTATAAAATATTTATTCCTCTAAGTATTTAAAATACCCTTAGCACCTTAAAGTTTATTACTGTTTGTGACTTGCATACATAATAAATACCCTAAGGTAAGTTTGAATTGCCTTGTGTTTCCAATGCAACTCCAGGCTGGTAAGGTTGAACATTTTATTCTTTCTTGAGGAGGAAGCAAACCATCCCCTGTGCTTCCTATCCCACAGAATAGAATCAAGGAGACTATAGGAAGAAAGCACTTCCTTAGCTCTGAGTGTTCCTGTTTAAGGGTAACTGTTGTTTGTTTTTTTTTAACAAAAAACAAACCCAACTGTTTCCTTAAAAAGCTAATGACACAATCATGGGTGCTGTCTTGTAAGCCCAAATATACGAGTTCCTGAAAGGGAGGTGATGAAACAGTGATGCTATGAAGCAATTAATTATCGAAGATATTTTAATGGTGGTCCAAAGCTGGATTACAGGACAATGTGTTTTAAGAGAGAACTGCAAACTCAAAAGGGCACAGATGAGAACTCAAAACTAGGGAAGCAACATCACAGCACCCTGCAGACACAAACCTCTCATAGGCTCTTAGCCAATGTCCCAGCTGCCAGCAGGGAACCTAACCAAAAAGCCAGCGAGCATGCCAACCAGGCGGTCAGACAAGATGCTGCTGCTGGAAGGAGATATATCTAAGGTTCAGCCTCTGTCTAGTACGGCTGTGAAACGTGGTTCATCTATACTGACAGCTAGTGCTTCAGTGCTGGAGAAGAGAAGATTCAGCAAAACCAACAGGCTTAAAATACTGCTGAGTAAGCATCACTGTTACAGTGTTGTTTTGATTGTAATTTTTTCTTTTTAAAATATATCTGTTCTAATTAAGTTAAATTAGCATATACCCAATTAGTATTTCCAAATATAAAAAATTGAAGTTAAATCACTGGTTTATCTTTAGCCTCAACATTCAGAATGAGGAATTGATGAGCAGTACGTCCCTTTTAGCACTTTCAAAGAACTAAAACCGGTTCTCATTCATACTGACTGACAAGTTGAAATGTGTGGCAAGTGTTCATATGCTGAGCAGTTAGCTTTACAAAGCTTCAGGAAATAAAGAGTAAAAGTGTTTGTAGACACACATACTTGCCTCCAAAATTAACATGTCTAAGGAACTCTTTGCCATTTTACATTGAACTAGATACATACATATGTGTAAAATGCAGTATTTGTGAGATTTTTCAAAGTAGAGAGTTTAAAGTAGGTAGATTATCTTCAGCAATTATTCCCATTGAGAACAACTATTAAACTATTAATAAGGATCCCACTAACTCTTTTCCCAAACACCTTTCTAGTTTATTAAAGGAAGAGTAACAAAATTGATGCACTTTTCAAAGAGTTCTGGTAACAGCAGTGAGCAAGAAATTGGAAAGCATCTGTCAGTTATTTGAAATAATTGGGTTTTTGCTAGCATCAGAAGCCAAAGTAAATAAGTTTTCACTTAACTTTGAAGTGTATAGAGATTTTTGACAAGACGTATTAGAAAATTTAGTTTATGACCTTAAAGAAAGCATGAAAACAGTGTTCCCAACTCTCATATCTACATCTCTCAGTATTTCATGTTGTACGCAAGAGTCCCAATATCTGTAGGCAGATGATAAAAGCCATATAGAAAACAAACAAACAACAAAACCCAATAATATAAAAATTGGGATTCTCCAAGTCTCTAGTGCTCAGCTGTGGGGGAAGGACTAAAAAGTTGAATTGTAAGCAGCCAAAATAAATAAAACCACCTGAACTGTATCCTGAAATCTCAGTACTTCAGTTTAAAGCATAAAATATGACATTAAACAGATACTAAAGCAGTCTTGTAAATGTAGAAGGTATATAGAAAGGAAAGCACATTAGCACTTGCACAAACCATCATTTTTCACAGCTATAAGCTTTCACTTCCTACATTAATTTATGACTTTTGTTGGCTGCATCTAGCATGCTATGAGTACCAATAGTTTAGTACTATATTAGACCTTTCCAAAGGAAGATGTACTTCAACTGGTCTTATTTGTAAGAGTCCTTCAGCACAACTTTTATAGTGATAAGAATTGAAAAAACCCAACCAAAACCAACAAAAAACGCACAAAAACAACTATTGTGACACATGCACAACTGAAATATTAAGGCCAAGTGACTTTTACACTTCAGTTAGAATCAAAAGTGAAGGAAACTCAGTTCACAGAAATATTGTTGAATATGCTTTTAAATGAAACTTTCATGAACACTTGTGTGCACGTAAGCTTGGTTCTTCAGGAACAGAAGGTACAAATGTTTTCAAAGCTGAGATCATATTAGAAAGTAAGCAATAAGAACTAAAAGTCAGTTCTTCCTCAGCCTCACCAAACCAGTTCAACTCAAATCCAGAACAGAAAGAGGAAGGTCCAGTAAGATCCTACTCAAGTATAATAAATAAGACCAATAAATACCTTTGCTAGGGACAGAAACATCCAGGCAGAGATAAACATTGGGAAGCGATAGTACCTGGCACACGGACTGAGATGAGCCACACCGCTCTACCCCTTCTCACCCAACCCTGTATTCCACAGGTGCACAAACACTAAGCTCATATGGTTTAGGCATAAAGTATTTAGCTCTTAGTGACAGAGGACTCACTGCCAAATTTATTTCTTCCTCCTGCTACCACTCTTTCTGTGTTTACTCATATACCAACTTCAAAAGAAAAGCCTTCCTTTTTAATAAAAGGAAAGTCAGCTTGTTTATGCAGGTTTGTTTTGTTTTTAAATAGTTATCCTTTATAGCTACAACTTCAATACCAATTAGTCAGAAATATCAGTGAACCCGAAACGTTCATCACATAAAAGTTTACTTCTAATACAAACCAGCAAAAGCTAATCTACTTACTCTCTAAAATACTTGCAATCCTTAAATACCCACAGGCAACTGAGATTCATAGAAAAATAGTCTTACCTTTTTCTTTGAAGAAAAATAATCAGGTACACAAAACAACTGTTACAGAGGTTCCTTGTTCCATAGAGTATGAAGGATCTTCAATAGGAGCAAAACCTTAAATAAAACCCAAAGCTAGCCCATACTCAGTACAACTGCTGAGGGATCACAGAGTATGAAGTGCATATCAGTAGGTATATTTATAAAGCTTAAGTGCAATTGCCTGTTACACTTTCTCAACACAACACTCTCTCTAATGCTGCAGCACATGACTGGAGCTGTAAAAGCAGTAAATCAGTTTCCTGCTTCTTTAACTGATTGGCTAATTAAGACCATAATCAGTAAACTATTTACACATGGAAACAAGAACATCCGAATTTTCTGACTCTTCACACTCATTTTGTGAGCTCTTCTGTTTAAAGCAAATAGAAAATGTATGTTACTTTGAATTTTAATCAGTATTTCCAGTAACAACGTGTAACAAACACATTCAAGAATTAGGGTTTTTTCTCTTTTCACAGAGGGAGAGGAACACAGAAATTCATAAACTGTTCAGTGAAGATTCCTTGCACTCCAGAGCATACAATTTTGCCAAAAATCCAGGACCAAGCCATTGTCTAAGATTCTTTTTTCTCTTCTTCTGGATTCACACACACAACCCCCCCCCCACATCGGTATATGCCCGACTATTTATTCATCTGGATTCTCATACTGATCTTGCAGAGTGACATGCAAGTACAACATAAGTCAAATTCAACTGTTCCTTTGCACAACGTGGAATTTTATAAAATTCTAATATTAATTAAACAAACAGTAGCTTTCTGCACCAGCTCATAGAGCAGAACAGTCCTACCATTTGACAATTAGCAGTATCATCATTACCAGAAACTCTGAACTTCATGAAGAAAGTAAATAAGTTAAAACATTTGTCTTCTTACTCCAACATACACAATATTTTCAACTCTTCCAATACAGTACACAATGAAACTAATTTTTCTGGAAGGCTGAATAGCTGACACCATACTCAAGAATTATTCTTCCCTTTCTAGACTTACTCCATCTCCTCATTAATAACATTCTTTCACTAAGAAGTAGAAATCTGTTTCCAAATATTTAATTATAATTGGAAAAAGATTACAAAATACAATGTTTTATTGTTCTTGGGACTACAGAAATTTATTACTTGAGTTTCTCCATTTCCTTCGAATTCGAGAAAAAGTAACAAGCAAAACAAATGACAAAGAAAACTAACAGATGTAAGAACTAGTTTCATTAATTAAACTCAAAAATTCAGAAAGGATTTCACCAAATAAATTTCAATGGCTGAACCTGGCAGATGCCATTCCTCACAGAAGTGCTGCATTCCTAGAATGAACTAATGCCCTTCAGTAATACAGAAATTCAGTCACTTAGGCAAGGCGGGACTTATAAGAGACCAAGGATTAGCATCTCCGAACACTGGAGTAAGCTGAAGCATTTTGGATCCTCTGTCAATTCAGAGCTCATCATGTTTTGCAGGGTCCATACTGGGTTTGATGAAGACTCCTTCCATTGCTTTCCAATAGTTGTGATGATTAGCAGTAGGCATGCCATGAACTTCCCGCTGGCCTCTAATGGGATGGCCATACTGTTCCCCTGTTATTGAAAGGAACACCTCAGTTCCTACGTGCTTGAAGCGCACTGCATCCTCCCGCTCCCAGTAAGTCCCACTGCATTGCACAATCCATATATCGAGGTCATCTCCTTCACCATCATCACCAAAGGCACTTACTTCCTGTTAGAAACACAAACTTCCTGAAGTGAAAATGTAAGCAAACACTACCAATACACACACAAAAACATCAACCACAAAGTCAGCAGAGTTTAAAGGCAAGGATGGAGAGGAAAGAAAAAGCTTTGTTGCACTGCTTTGTCAACAGTTACCAAATCCAGAAGTAGGAAATTTCTACCATTACAATCTGAACACAAAGTGCCAACAAACTCCAACATGTAATCACAGCAAAAAGTGCCAACAAACTCCAACATACATTACAAACGAAATGAAAGAGGACTTAAGCGTAGAGATCAGAACAATTCGTTTGAGAAAGAATTCAAAAGAAACAACACTAATGCTGATGCAAATTTTCCCCACTCAAAAAAGTTTGTAATTGCAGACATTTAGTTTTGTAGTATGACCATCTTCATAGTTACCATTGCAACAGGTTTTTTTCAGCATGTGCTTTTACCACAATGTTTCAATAATTTGGCTTATTAAGTAATCATATTCCTTTTTTACTTAATTATACCAAGCTTACAATTGGGTCAACAACTATTCTGGTTTGCGCTCTTTCTTCAGATAGACAGCTGAATAGCTCTTTAAAAGCATAAAGATGACCATTAAAGCAAATTAATTCCTGCTTAAAAAAAAAAAATAAAAAAAATTGGATATTAGATTTCATTATGCACCAAAAAAAAATTCCAAGTGTTTGCAGAAACCGGATAGGCTAAGCACCAACTGTTTAGGACTCCAGACAGCCTTTAGTACTTAAAAATCTGATAACCAGAAGTGATGAACAACTTGAAAACAGAACTGCAATAGTTTGTACCTAGCAAGCTAAAATTTTAGGATCGTGTTAATTCAAGTTTATATAGTCCAAAAAGTGTGAAAGACAACATACTAATTGAAAATCCAACTTCTGTTAAGAATATGAAATAAGTTTGTGTTCATAACTACATCATATTTCAATAATGCCGTAAGTCACAGTCATGACAATCTCTGGGAAATCATGCAAACTCTCCTTTCACTTAGGTAATGTGCAAACACAAAGTAAAAATGAAGAAACACAGTGACAGTTGCTGAACATTTTTACATTAATGGTAATGTTATGCAAATTGTCTAAACTGACAAATGAAAACTGGGGGAAGGTTTTAGAGTCCATATGTTCTTTAAATAATTCTTCTGAAATGCTATTTTTTCATCACTTTCTTTGTTTCAATAACCAGATCATCTAGATACCCTACACAAAACTGGACCTTATTCTTTCAGCCACTGTACTCATAGTAAAACACAAACCTTTTTCACAAAGAGTCAAGTGTTCCAACTTTGAATGTAATGATCTATCTACATAGCCTGAAGCAAGACTAAAATGACTACTAATGACAAACCTCCAACAAGTTTGCATTATTTATTTTAAGAGAGATTTTCAATCTTGGAGAAGCGTTTGTTCAAGGACAATACTGGGACCTAATTACAGTTAGAAGTTACAGTCTTCTAGAGATGAGAGATGTAGAAAATGGTAAATAAATATGGCTGTGCGAACAGATTCATTTTTTCTGTGGAAGAAGGACAGATAAATAAGAATAGTGAACTAAAAAAGGGATAGCAAGATGATGACTGAGACTAATAGATTCAATTACCAAGGAACTTGGATATAGGATTGCCTACTGTTAGAACACATGATAAGTTGCCTTGCTCTAGAGCAATCTTCACAATGTTGAGGGAGGTGCCCAGTCTCCTACACCTTGAAAGTGCTAAATGTTTCAGAACAGTCTTCCCAGTGAAATGGTGCAGAATAAAAAAAAAATGCAGATTTGTCAAAAGTACTGTGAAATACCAATACTGGTACATATTAAATTTTACCTCTGTCAAGAACTTAAATACATTATTCCAAGATGCAGAAAAGCATATACTTGAACTCTGGATATGCACAGACGTACTGTTTCTGGCAGCTGGTACCCAAGCCTGTTTCTTCAAAACATGGTCAACAGCATGCACTATTTATACAAAAGCTTCAGATTTAAAACAACTCACTTGGTTATTGGAGAGTGGTGATGGGAAGTGATGAGTGTGTAAATTTTTTCCTGTGTTAACGTGCGTAAGTCGTATAGCTTGCCCACATTTCACTGGTGTCCCGCGCTGGCAACTGCCATCACTCTTCCCACGAATCCGCCAGTAACTGTTAGCATCATCTGAAGCTTCAACTCCTGTCACTGACTGTTGCCCGCTTCCTGTTCGAATAGAATTAAATGGCAGGAGACTTAGCCCACTTCCCCAGTTCAAAAAGTCCTGAAAGAAGTAAAGAAATTTGCTCTAATGTTCTCATGCCTTCATGTTTAAGGGATGTTTAATTCTCACAGTCCATTTACTGACTGCAAGAGGAACGCAGGTACCAAATAATCTTTCAGATTGAAGAAGTTAAACACAGCATGTGTTAGTAGATGCAAACTGTCAAAGTCCATGGTGAACACACCAGAATAAAATCTATTCCATGATGGATACTATTCTCACCATCCTGCCTTTCTCAAAAATACTACCAAGTTCTTTGTGTCCCCAAACAAACCAGCACCCTTGTTGCCAGAACAGGTGCTGGGAAGGTACTGCCGAGGCCCTAGATACAGAACAGAGCTCATCTCAGGGAAGAGGACATCCCTGTCACATCCCCACCCCGGGACCTGTGTAGCACAGCTGCAAGGTCTTCCTGTACCCCAGGCCTCCGCATCCTCCTCTCTCTGCCAGGCTGCCAGGTCTCCAGCACACCCCACACCCCCATCCCCGCCTGTCCCTCTGCACCAAGGACGAGAACTTGAGCAACTTCTAACCTCCTCCTCCTCCTTCCCTGCCACCCCTCATTGC